GGATTTGCCCCCGATCCCGCCGCATCCTCCGCCTCCGCTACCTCTGCCGCCTCCACTGCCTCCACCCTTTCGCCGCTGCCTCTACCACCTCCGCCACCTCTGCGCCCCTTCTGCCGCCATTCCTTCCCTCTGCTCGCCGTGTCTTTTTCCCTCCCTGCGCCACCTCCACGCGCGCCAGCCACCCCAGATTTAAAGACGGCGAATTCCAGCCGGCCGGAAGCGGCTCTTTGCAAACAGAAGCGCTCCCGGAGGCACCGCGGCTCATTCTTCCGGAATGTACTGGGGCTCATTCCGCGAAATGCAGTGCGGTTGCCGCAGCGCGCAGCAAAGGCGCTTGCTGCGCCCTTAACGTTTTCAATCCTTACTTATTTGAAGAGGTTGTCCCTTTTATGGAACATCTCCGAATTAAATTTGTCGCGAAATTATTACGAAGCACTTCTGGGCAATCGTTTTTAATGTGTTAAGCGGTGAATATTTAGTTTCATTTTGAATTAGTTTTACATTTGCGGTAGGAAGAACCACCGGTAAATAAAAGTCCACGCTCATCTTGATAAAAGTTCCAAAGGGCAATAATGTATTATATAGAACAATATTGTATTATATTTTGCATTTCATGTATGCTAATGTGTTTTAACATGCAACACTTCTTAAATAATATATTTTTTTAATGTTCAGTGTTTTATTAACTCATTTTTCATACGTAAAATGTCGGAGAATTCAATAGTTTATTTTGTGATTTAATAGTTGAATTAAATTTATAAATATATTACACAATTTAAAAACTGTTGTAGTAATTACAACATTACTTCATGAAGCATCCTGTTGAAATCATCTTTAAAATTACATTATATATCAATATAATTAATTGAACTCGATGATTCTAGTGAGGAAAGTAAATACAAGATGCCCATTTAAATAACCACATTTTCTGTGTCTTTGCACATATCAGAAGATCATGGAAAGCAATGCAAGGAATATAGTTTAGTTTAACAAACTTCATTCATAATAAATCGAGATCTATAGAAATGTCATCTTTCATTTTTCCCGTTGCACATATTTCTTTTATACAGACACAAAATGTTTTTCAGATGAATGAAAAAATAACGATCTCCTGTGCCATTGCTCGTGCGGGGCAGTGCTCCGTGACCACAGGAGCAGTGTGCGAGTGTCGTGCCACCGTAATGGCAGGACGCCACACGACGTTGATATTTCAATTACTTTAAAGAGGGCAAGATTGATCGGCGCAGACGCTCCGGCCGCCTTGTTTGATTTATGACGCTGGAAGCGGTGGCTGGGGGGGGGGGGGAGCCGCCCCCCTTCCCCGAGGTCGCCAGCCGCGGTTCGTTCCGCGTCGCACTTCCCCCGCCTGCGCGCAGCGCGTCCGGTCGCGCGGCAACGCTTCATTCTCTCCCTGGAATCGCCAGCGCAAAATTTTTGGTCTCACTCAGCGGGAAACCCGCCTATTGTGCGAAGGCGTACGCGCCGACTTCGCCTCTGCGTGCGCCGCCTCTACATAATAACGTTCGAACCCTTTGATGGAGGACAAACACGATTTGCATAGGAACAAAACACGGGGTACATCGTTTCTCAGTAAATGCTGCGTCCGTGGAGGGGCGGCTTGCAGAGCGCCTGCCCTTGTTCGGGCGGGGCGGTCGACACGTACCGAAAGCGGCAGCCGTCGTTGAAGAGTTTACTCAACGGGGTCGCAATGAGTTTGCGGTGGGGGGCGGGGCGAGGGAGGTCGCAAAGTCAAGCAAGCTCGGGCTGGCTCGCGCCGCCCCTCCTCCCTCCCCGCCCCTTCCCCTTGTTTTCGGACCATCGCGGAGGGTAACGGGGAACAAGAGGAGAGAACGAGTGTCTTTCCGTGCAATCTAATCCGATAGACATCAAGATAAAAGGTTCCATTTGTGCTGAAGGAGGCCGTAGAGTTAAAAGTTCGCCACTGCGAGCTTACACTAGAATAGAATGGGATGAAATGCCAACGGTTATAAAAATTATTTAAAGTAATAAAGGGGACGACTGGGGTCTCGGCAAAGTTTAGCGAGACAAAAACAACCTTTATATTCCATTATAGTTTTTTTTCTATGAACTCCATAAATAGCTACAATTGTATGTCGTATTTACTCATTCAGATTTTATGTGATTAAAATATAGTGTGGTGTAATGATATAATATTGTGAATATGAAATGTTTATGTGTTTATTTATGCGAATAATCCTTATTCAGTGCAGATTCTGTTCCATAAAGAAATGCATATAGTCATACATTATTTATGTTTTTGATGTAGTATATAATTTCTCAAATATTTTTTAAAGAATATGTATACAACCTTACAAAGCAACGGTATAAAATACGATTTGTTTGAATGGGTCGGAATCTTTGGAGAACTTCGTGTTGAGAACTTCTTCCAATGCGTCTTCGTGTACTTCGTCACAATACCAGGAGCCACTGAAAGCCCTGCCACATGTGCTTCATTTGTTAAACAAGAGACACTCACCTTGACCTGCGACTCCGTCATGCCCAGCGCGTAGGCCAACTTGGCGCGCTCGGGCCCGGCCAGGTACTTGGTCTGCTCGAACGTCTTCTCCAGCGCGAAGATCTGCTGGCCGCTGAACGTGGGCCGCGTGTGCTTCTTCTTGCCGTCTTTGTCGACGAGCGTCATGCTGGCGGGGCCCACTGCAACAGAAGCGCGCGTCAGGCAGCCGGCGACGGCGACGCCGGCTCGTCGCGACGCCGAG